ATACACATCTCTTTACCTTTCTTTCCTTCCCACTAGAGTCTAGTGAAGGAGCTCTGGTGGCGTAGTGCCTAAGGCATTTGACTGCTAATCAGAAGGCTGGCAGTTCAAACCCACCAGTCACTCCACAGAAGGAAGACTGGGCAATCTACTTTCATAGAAACCCAAAAGGGGTCGCTATGAGTCGGAATCGACTTGATGGCAGTGAGTTTGGTTTTGGTTTGAGAGTCTAGTCACTGGACCATAAATTCCTTGGCAGCAGGATCCATTAATTACACTCTTTGTAACCCTACAGCCTAATATAGTATCTCACTATTGTGTTGTAAGTATGGAGTTTGAAGTCAGACCTGGTTTCTGATGTTGGCTTAGACACTTATTGTCTGTCAAACTACAGACAGATTGCTTAACCTTTCTGTTTCCTCATCTGACAGTGGGAATAGTAGTATGTGTGTGAGACTTGTTGTAAGGGTTAAAGGTAATAATGTATGTGATATCCTTACCACATTGTTTAGCATATAAATGCTCATGAAAGACGGCTATTGTTAGGCTCTCAATAAATGTCTGTTTATCAAATAATTAGAATTTTTCAAATTTGTGATAGTGCTTAATTTTTTTATAAGATTATGTAACTATAATTTTTATGCATACACATTAGGCTTAAACTTTATCTTCTATGTGACAAACATTTTTATGTTTTTTTTTTTTTAAATAAGTCACTTCAGTAGACTCTGCTCCTGCTGCCATCAAATTAGAATCGTGGCCCTTACCAGAAAAGGTCTCTTTTTCTTCAGAGCCTATTCAGAAACCATTACAGATATGCAGTCCTTCAGCTGAAAGCAAGAGACCTAAATGGGTGCCACCAGGTATGGTATATTTATTGATCAAGGGCAGGGGCTGGTGGATTTTCTTCCAAGTTATAAATGTTATGTGTGAGCATTTCCCCCATATTTTTTTATGTAATATTTATTATTACATATTCTTATTATATTTTTAAATATGTAATATTTATTACATATTCTTAAAACGAAGATTTTCAGTTGCTGCATTTATTTATCATTTATTTAACTATCCTGTAATATTGGGTATCCAGGTTGTTCATGATGTTTTCAGTGTTACAAATAAAGTTGCAATAGGCATAACCATCTTTTTATTCTTTTAAGAAATCTATGGCCACATCTCCGATTATTTCCTTAGAATAAATTCCTACTAGTAGAATAACCATGTCAAAGGAGAAAAACATTTAAGATTCCTGATACATAACTTGGGAGCTCTGGTGGCATAGTACCTAAGGCGTTTGACTGCTAACAAGAAGGCTGGTGTTTCAAATCCACCAGCCACTCCTCAGAAGGAAGATTGGGCAGTCTACTTCCATAGAGATACCACGTTGGAAACCCAAGGAGGGGTCACTATGAGTCAGAATTGACTTGATGTCAGTGAGTTTGGTTTGGTTTGGTTTGATATGTCATTCTGGCAGCAAATCTGTTTGGTCAAGATCTGCTAACCTCCACAGTCTGACTGAAGTCTCAGAGCCTGTACCTGAGAATTTCAGCATTCAGCAAACACCCTAGCAAACTCAACTTCTGGCTCAACACAGACTATTGCTCCATAGCCAAGTCTTACTGATCTTCAAGAATTCTTTGGCTTTCACCCTTCTTGGAATTACTGAAACTCTAATCTAGATCCTTTCCACTTTATAACTAAACTATTGCTGGCTTTCACACTAGTCCTTCCTCTCCTTTCCCTCACCCAACCACATGAACGCTCTACTTCAGTGAAATTGATACTTTATTATTATTATTATTTTTGGTCCCTTAAACACATTGTAGGTATTCTTCTGCTAGGGCCTCTTTTTATGCAGTTTCTGTACCTGGTATATATCTTTCTTTATTTGTCCCCTCTCCTTTTCTAAGCCCTTCTGAATTTCTTATTTTACCTCTTTTGAGTGACCTTTATTGGTTGGTCCACAATAGTTACTCCCTTAATGGTAACTAGGTAATAAGAGTAGAGTCAGGCCTAACCTGCAGGACTCCAGGATTATTTAATTCCCAGTACTGTGTGGGTTGTTGAGTAGCAGGTATAATTATTTATTATAGATTTATAATCCTTTTAGAGAACAGCTTGAAAGGAAACAGAAAAATAAACTCAACCTTTGGCCCAATGCCTTAGTTATCTAGTACTGCTATAAAAAAAATACCATAAGTGTATGGCTTTAACAAACAAATTTATTCTTTCACAGTTTATAAGGATAGAAGTCTGAATTCAGGGCGCCAGCTCTGAGGAAGGCATTCTCTCTCTGTTGGCTCTGGGAGAAGGTCCTTGTCTCTTTTCAGCATCTGTAGGGCCAGCGTTCCTTGGCTTTTGGTGATTGTCAGGTGGCTTGGCATCAATCTTCATCTCTCTCTGCTTGCTAGCTTGCATTTAATCTCTTTTATCTCAAAGGAGATTGACTCAAGATACACCCTATACTAATCCTGTCTTACTAACATGACAAAGATAACCCATTCCCAAATAGGATTGTAACCAAAGGAGTAAAGGTCAGGATTTACAACACATATTTTTTGGGGACATGATTCAATTCATAACATTCCAAATTCATGTCCTTGCCACACATAAAAGACATTCAACCTGTCACATTATCCCAAAAGTCATCTCCAAGTCCAAATTCTCATCATCTGGATCCTATAGATCAAATATGCTGAGGCTTGAGGCATACCCCATCCTGGGACAAAATTCCTTTCATCTGTAAACCTATGAAATCTAGACTATAAGTTACCTGTTTACAAAGTACAGTAGTGGGGCAGGCACAAGGTAGATTTCCATTACAAATGGAGACATTAGAGGGAAAAAAGAGGGAAGTAACAGGGATGAAGCAAGTCTAAAACCCAGCAGAACAAATTATATTAGTTCTCAAGGCTTAAAAATAATCTTCTGTTCTCAGACCAAGGGCTCTGCCCTCCAGACTCTGGGTATTGGCCACACCCACTGGATTCTGGGTGAAGGCCCTTGATCCTGGACTTCAGCCCTGCCTTCCAGGTCGGCTTTGTTCCCTCAGCTTTTGGCAGCCCCATTTGCCTAGTCCATGAGTGTCGACCCCACACCCTTGACTCTGGCATGCCCCATTCTTCTGCTCCTTGGGTAGAGCTATCCCACTCCCTCACCTTTAGGCAGTAACCCCTTCCCCCGGGCACTTATGAATGGCAGCCCCATACTCCATAACTAAGTTGGTGAAGATTTGTCTCTTTGAAACCTAAGAGGTCATGGCCCTGCCCTTTGAAACCTAACAGGCTGTGGTTCCACCCTTTGAAATCAAGACAGTCTGCTTCCTGTGCTTCTTCCAGTGTTTCTGCTGATCTCTGAGTTGCTCCAGGGATGTCCTTGTCTTTTCTTGGCAGATAACACATGTAGCTTCTTTGGCTTGTTTCCTGCCTGTGGAATTCCAAGAGGCAGACTATTCTTTCATATCATTCTTTCTCTGACCCCTTCAGTCTAATCTGATGAGTTTTCTGCTGAGGTAGTTGGTTAGATCCATCAGTCACAGACTTAATCTCTTTAACAAAAGATTATGTAGCCACATCCTTGGTGAAAATTCTAGGACACGTGTCCTTAGTTTGTACAACAGGTTTTCCCAAATCTTTAAGTTCTGTTTTCATTTTGTGCAGTTCATTTCCC